TGACCCACCAAGGCCAAGTCAAATGCCCAAGAGAGGGAGCTCGTGGTGTCCCACATTGTTCACCAAGCTGTTCTGGACTGTTTTGCTGTGGGGCACCCTGTATTTTGTTTCCCAACTTACTCATAAACTGAGCAAATTATTTATTTAATGTCTTTCCGGCTCCTGTTTGAATCTGCAAAATGGGGACAGTAACACCCACTTCATGTAGTTGTTGTGAAGATTAGAAACACTGGGAAAGTGCCTGATACTGGTCCTGCACAGATATTCCTGCCTGCTTGCTCCCCCCCCGCCACAAGCCCTGCTCCTTCATTCATCCATTTCATCATCAATCAAACAATAATTTAGTGCTTGTTGCGTCACACAGTGTGAGATGTTAGTGACACAGTGGTGACACATGCTCTCTAACTTCTTATAAAGACAAATAATTGACAGAATAAATGCAAATATATCTCTGTGACAAAAACCAATTTTAGCATGTAAAATAGCATTCTTAAATTTTAAAATGCGGGGCTAGCGCAGTGGCCGAGTGGTTAAGTTTGTGTTCTCTGCTTCTGGCGGCCCAGGGTTTCACCGGTTTGTATCCTGGGCACGGACATGGTACCTCATTAGGCCATGCTGAGGTGGCATTCCACGTGCCACAACTAGGAGGACCTACAACTAAAAATACACAGCTATGTACCGGGGGGATTTGGGGAGAAAAAGCAGAAAAAAAAATTTTAAATGCAATTGAAGAACTCAAAGATAAATTTGAGAAAAACTTCCAGAAGACAGAGAAGAACAAAAAGATGAAAAAAATATGAAAGCTAAGGTCAATGGAAGATAAATCTAGAGAATCCAAATCCATTTAATAGAAATTTTAAAGAATTTTTTAAAACAGGATAGAAAATAAAGAGGAGAAATTATCAAAGAAAGAAGACAGTTCTCACCGATCAGCGGACTTCAGGCTGTATGGGTGCGCTGAGGGCTAAGCAACAAGAATCAAGAAAAGATTCCCTCACCCAGCCCAGTAAACTCCAGAAAACCAGGAGGAAGAGAAGGTCCTGAGAGCTGTTTACAGAGGAAAGTTGTGCTTCTGATGAGAAGCAGAATCAGCCTGGCCTCGGGGGAGAGTGCTGCGACAGAAGCAGTGCCCCCCTCATCTTGGGGAAACGACTTATGCTTAGAATGTCACCCCGGAGACTGAAATAAGGACATTCCCCATGTGCAAAGACGCCTCGGACGGAACTCTCACTTGTGGGTCCTTATTCTGAAAAAATGCCTAGGGCTTAGCATCGACCAAATGGAGAAGAAATCCAGCAAGAAGACTGTTACAATGCTAAAAATAAAGTTTCCCTGCCCTCAAGTCTCTTAAGGGCTAGAGGAATGAAGAAGCAGGAGCAGGCAGGTACCGCCCCTCGATGCCCACCACGCTGCCTCACGGGGGTGTGTGCCAAGTACCCAGGTCAGGCTCTTTTCCTTTCAAGCCCTCCATATGGACACTGCTGAAGGCACATTTTTCAAAAGCAAATAAATAGAAACAAATTAGGTCTGAAGCTTTGATTTCCTAAAAGAAATTTCCCAGAGGGAATTTCTGCCACGGACTTTTAATGTTAAAAAAATTTTAAAAAGCGCTAGTTTCCAAGAAGGGGAATTCTGGTAGGTTCTGAATCCTGGCTGCCCCAGGAGGACTCCTAAGCCCCCGTGGGGGCTGCAGAGGAGTGGGGCGGGACTCAGCCGTGCCTCTTCCGGCCCAGTGAGGGAACATTTGGCTTTGTGCAATAAATATTCTGTTTCGAGTCACACAAAGCCATCTTCTGATTAAATAATGGGAACACGCCACTTTCAGGTGGAAAGTTCTCTCTATCGCGTCATCATTCTTATTCTTCCATTTGTTCTTTGAAGGGACATTGTCTAACACGGTTTTATTGTTAACAAAACACAAAACTCATAGACAGCTATGCTTCAGGTTTATGTGACAACCGTGGTAAACAGGAATCTTGAATCCGGTTTAATTTATGCTGAGAACATGAGTTGAGCCATAATTAACAATTTGCTTGTCACTCATTAATATATAATTTAATTGTTTAATTTTTAAATCTTATGAACAATTTATATGTGTATTTTTTGATAATACTGCTAACATTCAGTTGAATATTAGCTGTTTTCAAAATGCTTCTTTTTATAACTATGGTTTTATAAAAGAATTTATTTTAAAAAGGGAAACATTGGGGGCTGACCCCGTGGCACCACAGTTAAGTGCGCACGTTCCGCTTCGGCAGCCCGGGTTCACTGGTTTGGATCCCGGGTGTGGACATGGCACCGGGTGTCAGGCCATGCTGTGGCAGGCGTCCCACATGTAAAGTAGAGGAAGATGGGCACGGATGTGAGCTCAGGGCCAGTCTTCCTCAGCAAAAAGAGGAGGATTGGCAGCAGTTAGCTCAGGGCTAATCTTCCTCAAAAAAATAAAAAGGCAAACATCTGCATGTGGCACAGTATTAAAACTGAATATGTCACTGTATTAACATGTTTTAATTTTTGTTTTAGCAGATTATGTTGTATTTTTCTTAATTATTGGGGGGGGGGGGGGGTTGGTAAATTTAATGCTGGCCATGGAATTTCTATTTTACCCAAGCAGACAGTTTTATGTTTTTTTCTTTCTATTCCTTCATAATTTCTATTTTTCTTTATATCCAAAATAAAGTACTTTTTCCACATATTTAAGATTGCAGCTAAGTTGATCCTAACTTCTCTCTATTCCGTCTTTATGCTTCCTTTGAATTTATGTAGCAATACCTTGTCTATCTTGTTCTATTCCAAGTCACTCAAGTCTAGCAGAGCGCCGAAGAGCGAGTCCTCAGGAAATACTGGCTGAATTAATCAAAGGCATCCCTATCTAGAGAGCCAGAATTCTCTGCAGATAGCTTTTGCTGCCGTTTACATCGTCACAGTTATAAATGAGAAACTAAAACGCAGCAATATTATGTAGGTATATTAGTAAATTGGTATAGAATGATCATCTATAAATGTACTACCATTTATTGAGCATTTACAGAAAGCTAGATCTTTGTTGTATATTGTCTAATTTAGAGATTGAAAAATTCTGGGAAAGTAATGTTTATAAAAAGAGCTCAGTGCACGAGGCCGTAGGTGGTAGTGACTTAACATAATTCCGTCTGATTTCGAAACTGTTAACCATTAAACATTTCACCGGTTGGTTGTGTCACTTGTATAACATAATCCAATCAATTAGAGTTAGAATTCCTGCTGCACCAGTCAATGCAAGTGCTGTCTTTTCCTCCCTTCCTCCCTCCTTCCCACCTCCCACCCTCTCTCTCTCTTTCTTTCTTCTTTCATTTTTCTTTTTTCTTTTTTTTTTTTTTTGTCATACAATCAACAAACCCATATTGACCAGCCAGTCAATATGGAGACAGGTAAGACGCAAAGGTGAGTGGAATTGTCCCTCTCCCAAGGTATGCACCACAGAGCCTTGTGCCATGTCAGATGAAGAGCCTGGAGTCAAGTTTAAGGGAAATCATTAAATCCTAAGGAGGAGATGGGGAGAAGTTTCTTCATTTTAAATGGCAAAGTTGGAAAGAAAAGAGACAAATCTGGTCTAATTCCTTTCTCTTTCTGGGAATTTATGATTTTAAATCTTCTGTGATCTATATCTTTATGTTCTTGGCAAGACACACGTGTTCAAACACTTAGTCACTCTCTGTGTGATGAAGTCATCCCTGGGGAAAACTGAGTGTACAAGGAAAGGGTTTACAGCTCAGTGTCCAAGGGTCAACAGAAGTAGATGAGGATGCTGGTTCCCAGTAACAGGAAGGGATACTGAGTTCCGAGGGCCTCAGTCACTCCCTGTGTTTCTTGTTTAACTCAACCATCGAGTTGTCTGTTGTTCAAACGAAGAATTGCAGAGAAAGTTGAGATGATAGTTTCTTGCTGTAGGTGTTATGCTAGTTATCCATGTCAAATTGGTCAACTTAAATGTCAGCGTCACCTTGTGAATTCCTGATGCATCATCTCTAATCATCTCCAGGCTCTTAGTTCACTTGACCCGTGGAGGTTTAAAACAGCCTAGAGATTTTCAGTTCCAGTAAGCCACACGAGCAAGACACACCGAGTCCTTTTGAATGAAGAAATCCCTTTGAGTGAATATCTATGGAGGCTTTTCGGGGGAACCCACCCAAAGGCTCATTCAGGACCACCAGGACTTAAAGGCCTCACTCTGTGGCTCAGCCCTTTAGGTTCTTGCTGGGAGTGTGTTTGGAAAGGCCTTATTACACTGGGAGGGGTCCTAGTTGCAAACAAGAGAGTTCAGTTTCAGTTATGGCTCTCCCTCAGACTCTCTGGGTAGCTTTGAGCAAGTACTTCAGCTTCTCTGAGTGTCTGTTTCTTCATTCATAAAATTAGCATAAAGTTTGGTTGATAACTAAATGACATAATAGATAAGAAAATAATGTTTCATAAGCTCTTCGAGCTCCAGGAACTTTAAGGAGAACAGCCTAGTCCCACAGCTCCTGAAGTCCCTCGAGAAATCAGAGACAATAAGGATCGCAAGAGAGCTCTGGGTTGTAGCTCTACCATGCTGCTGTGTAGGCTGATTCCATCCCACGTCTAGGAAGGAGAGTCTCTATAAGGCTGCCTGGAGGGATACTGGACCATGGGAACCAGGAGTTCTAGAACCTTCTCAGATGGAGCCAAATATCTCACAGGCTGCAGAGCTGATGTAGCTGGCAGGGAACAAAACTTCCCAGACAGAGCTTGTCCCAGACTGGACCGCCTAACCAAGTCCCAGGGGAGATGCTTTCTCAGAGCCAAAACAGCAGGCCCTACATCTAGGATAATCATTCTCAAGGGGAATGATTATCCCTGGATAGGACAGAAGACATCTGGTCCCTGGAGGAAGCTGAAGGACCCATGGTGCCAGCTGTAAAAGGGATGCTCTCTATTTACATTTCTTCCTAATCTGGTAATGAAATCATTAGGTGCTTTATATTGCGGTTCATATTTTGCAGATGGAGAAATCGAGGCACAGAGAAATTAAGTGACTTCGCCACAGTCTCAAGCTGGGGAGGACCAAGATTAGAACTTAGAGAGAACCCCTGACTCTGGGCCTGCGTCCTGCCCACGGAGTCACGCTGCCTCCGTTTCTAGGAGAGAAGACTTCCTGCAAGGTAAAGCATGGCCTCCGGCCCCTGGGGTATGTGCAGTCCTCAATGATGTGGGGCAGCCCTGTCTACACGGCAAGGTTGTATACCCTGGGAGCGTGTGAAGGACTGGCCAGCTCTCACATTTCCTGACGTGGGTTAGGCATCTGGTCTGGACCACCATTGTCAGCAAACTGATTCCTTACGCATTTGATCACCGGTACTCCCCACCCTCCACCAGATTTCTCTGCAGCCTCACCTTTCCGACTTCCTTCCATCCTGCTCGAGGCACCGACTCCATCTTTGCCTTCTCCTCTTTTCAAATCTATCTCCTCTCTCTCTCTGATGGGCAGATCGACTCTATCCTGGGATTTAAAAAAAGAAGAGAGAGAAGCTTTCTTCAGCCCTGCTCAGTCTCTTATCTTTTCTCTGTCCTTTTGGGGCCACTCCTAGGCCATGCCTTCCTCATCACCTATCCACTGAGGAGTCTATGGAAGTCTGGCTGTTGTCCTGCCTTCCTCCTGAAACTTCTCTCTGGAAATCCACCGTCAATCTCCTGAGCACCAAGTCCAGACAATGTCAGGGGTGGAAGGGGTTTTAAGTATCATCCAGTCCCACATCTCATCATCAGATAGATGAAACTTCTGTACATTGACCCCAGCAAGACAATTTCACCTACTCTTGACCATTTCCCAGTAGGGGTCAAGGTAAGACCAATGAATTTCATTCAGTTCTCCCCTTTCAAAACCCTGTGATCACAACTTAATGCTCCTTCTTTCCCTACACCCTTCTAGAACTTTCTCCTCTCTTGCCTTCCTTTACATGCTGTTTCTTTAGGTTGCCTCCCTATCATTTGGAGAACTCTTCTTCTGTGGATGTGTTTTATTTCAACTCCTGCCCTCTGAAAGTTCCTTGCAATGAGGATGTGTCTCATTTGGTGGTGTATTTCTCCCGTTGAGAAGGACACGCCAACATACAGATAGATGTGCAAAAGTGACAGCCTAGTGGCAACAGTTCAGTGAATGACAGCCACCACACAGAGCCATAAGTCCTGGGACTACTCGGGTCTAATAGTGTCACTCCTTACACATGTAGGGTACTTCACACTTTACAGTGTTCTTCCAAATGTTTCATAAGCTCTTCGAGCTCCAGGAACTTTAAGGAGCTTTCCCACCCACCTGACCTCCATGTTAAGCATAGGGGAAAATATTATTCTCACTGGAGAGTTTGTGCAGATGATGAAGCGAGGCTCAAAATTAAAGTGGAAAAACCTAAACTTCATCTTTAAAATTCTAAGCCCAGCCCTGTCACTCTAAAATTCATGTATATTTTTCACTTAATAATTTCTGAACCATTTTAATGTCTGAAAATCCTCTGTGGAATAGTGTATTTCATCTCCCCTGAGCACAAATGCCGTTCCCAGATGATGCATTCTATCCTTTGTGAACAGAAGCTTCTCTAATTTTCTGTTCTTGACTCTTTTACTATTGTCTTCCCCCTAAAAAATGTGAAACAATTTTTTTTAAAAATTGGATTAAAAATTTATAAATGGACAGTTCTATTAATATTTTTATTTGTCAAAACATTTGAATCTTTGAATTTTATTTTTTGTACCAATTCATCAAAATTTAAATTAGGGAGAAGGTGGGAAACGTTGCATGTAGACCAGACGTAGTGTCAGAAGTAGCCTTACAGATCCGCTCATGAACACAGAGCATTATCTGCTTCTCATTAAAAGCAGTCCTTTCATCCCATTTATGGTTTTTATAGCTATCAAAAAAAGATGCGTTGTCTCTCTCTGTTTTTCACTTGCACCTGAGGGACAGGTCCAGCTGAGGCAGATGTTGACTGGAGCCCTCCTGTTGATTGGTTCACGAACACAGAGCCCAGGGTGCAGAACAGGACAAAGAAGAGAGGCTGGACTCGCCAGCCACGGAGGACATGCCTGCTGAGGTCGGGAGGGGACTGAGCCTGGTGAGGGCCCAGGAGGAACGGGGTCCAGTGACAGGAGAGCTCAGAGCGGCCAGGCAATGAGCCTTGGTGAGGAATCGCAGCCAGGCCGTGGTGCACTGGAGCTCTTTCCAAATGACTGGTGCAATTACCTACAATTTTTACTTACACATGGCAAAAGTACCGCAAACAAAGTAAAAATAAATAAAAGAAGCTAGAAGAAAACACTTGCAACAGATAAGATGGGCAAAGGAGTTAACACCTTAAGTATACAAAAAGAAATTACAAATCAATGTGAAAATTTTAAAAAGAAGAAAAATAGGTAAAGGATGTGAATAAGAATTTACAGAAGAGAAAATGCAAGAGGCCAATATATGAAAAAATGCCTGCGCTCATTCTTGGTCAGAGAAAGAGAAATGTAAGCAATAATGAGACACATTGTTTCACTCGGTACAAATAAAAGACTTGTGAGATCCATTGGTGACAAGCATTTAGAAAAATGGGCTTCATCATACATTACTAAAAGTACATGGATTTTTATATTTTTCAACTATAAATTGACAATGTCTTCTTAGAAAACTACATTATACAAATAAGCACAAAGATGTGCATGATATTTATTGCACCTTTTTAAAATAATGGACTAAAACAACCAAATGACATAAAACAACCTACTTATCCTTTCGTAGGAGAACTTACAAGGATGGTTGGATAAATTATAGGATATGCATTCAGAGGAATGTTACGCTTTCATTCAAAGAATGAGTTTAGGGGCTGGCCCTGTGGCTAAGTGGTTAAGTTCCTGTGCTCTGCTTCAGCGCCCCAGGGTTTCACCACTTCATAACCTGGGTGCGGACCTAGCCCTGCTCATCAGGCCACGCTGAAGCAGTGTCCCACATAGCACAACCAGAAGGACCCACAACAAGAATATACAACTATGTACAGGGGGACTGTAGGGAGAAGAAGAAGAAGAAAAAAGATGGCCAAAAGATGTTAGTTCAGGTGCCAATCTTTAAAAAAAAAAAAAGTTTAAACCATGGGCATTGACGTGGAGAGAGAGCTGTGGTTTTTCATAAGTGAAAAACAGCAACTTACAGAAAAGTTTGTGTATAATGGCACCTGCTTTTGTAAACAATAAACATATGAGAAAACTGTGCTTTTATTCGTCACGTTTTAGGAGTAGAGACCACATTGGTTACCTCTGGATAAGGAAATTGACTGGAGGAAGAGAGATTAGAACTGCTGCTTTATTCACCACTGCATAACTGACATGTTACCGTATGTACTTCTTTTGATTTTTTTCAACCCAGTAATGTAGAAGAAGTGAAGAAAAGAAATGCAGGCATTGCTGCTTAGACTTGAGGTAATCAGCAAGGGATGCTTCTGGTTTTTTCTTTTTTTTTTTTTTAAGATTAGCCCTGAGCTAACATCTTTTGCCAATCTCTTTTTTCTTCTTCTCCCCAAAGCCCTCCAGTACATAGTGGTACATTTCTAGTTGTAGGTCCTTCTGGTTGTGCTGTCTCAGCATGGCCTGATGAGTGGTGCTAGGTCTGCACCCAGGATCCAAACCTGTGAAAACCTTGGCCACCGAAGTGGAGCTCAGAAACTTAACCACTTAGCTATGGGGCCAGCCTGCCCGCCCCTTCTGGATTCTTAAGCCAGAGAATTCCATGCTGGAAATGGAATGATAACATCACAGCTATAGTGGATTGACAAGGAAGTGAAATACAGTGGCTGAGCATGGAGAAGACTATTGAATGACTCAGTCTTGATTGGTGAGGGTTTGAACTGGAGCGTGTCCAGGGGAATTGAAAGAAATGGCAGCAAAAACCAGAATGTGCTAAATGACTTGATAGAGGAGTGGAGAAATGAAAAGGGTCAAATATGATTTTAAGGTTTCAGACTAAAAGGACGATCACTTCATTTATTCAGTAAATACTGGACTGACGCTGGAGTATTACAAGATCCCCTCCCCACAAGACCTTATAAAACGATAGAGGAAAACCTTCTTGCCGTAATAGAGAGTAACAATTGTCAAATGAAGAAATTTCTAAAATGCGAGGCAGGACAGAGGTGAGAGTGGAAATAACGGTGAGACAGGAAGAAACGATGTGGTTCACAGAAGGCCCTGTGCTGGAAAAAACTGTGACAGCTGTGGTGTCAATGTGAATTTCATGTGAGTTGTCAATACTTGGAAATCATCTAGAAATGAAGAATCGAGGTTTATGTGAGAGATTAGGGTTATAGACGCTGGTCTGAGCGCATCCCAGTAGAGCAGTAGAGACATTTCCTCTGAGTGTGTGTGGACCTGGGACAGAACATGGATGGAGCTGGGCCTCCGTGAGATGATGGTTCAGGGAGAGTGAGCACAGCATCAAATGCTTTACTGACGATGAGGCTGGGTGAGGCTCTGGGGGTTTAGGAAACGGGTCACTGGGGACCTCTGAAACAGGGATTTTAGCAACAACATCCGACAGGGTGCAAGCTGCCTGGGAGAGGGATCGGTGAGAAGGTTGCTGTTGGAGAAGTGTCACAACAAAGGAAGGAGAGAGATGTGACAATTGCTAAAGTTCAGTGGGTCCAAGGGGTGGAGGAGAACTGAGCCTAAGAGAGAGTAGGAGAAAGCCAAGTGAGAGGGGCAGACTGAACATGCTGGAGATAAGGCTGAGACAGGGAACAAGCCCTCAGACGCTCCTCTCTCAGGCAAGTTACCTCACAAGACCATCGGTGGAGAAGGAGGCGGCGTACGGCTACGGTTAGGCATGGGGATGCGGAACCTGGGCGTGAATTCCGGCACTGTGTCTTCTCCAGCTGACTGACCTTGCCCAAGTCACAGACCCTCTGTACCTTCTGGACTTTGTCCATAAGCAGAGATAGTAATGGATCAACCATGTAGAGGCAGAAGCCAGAGAACACAGGGAATGCACTTGGCACAGGGCCCAGCAACGGCAAGAACCCAATCCACAGCCAAGATCTGGGGATCCAGATTCCTGACAATGAGAAGGATTTCGAAGGGAGACTTCCTGCTTGCAGACCGACTAGAAGTGAATATCAACTCAGGGGCATGCATCAGAGAC